TAAAAAATCTATAGATAAGCCAACCTGTAAACAAGCCTTGAAGATAAAGATACTTGCTTCAGAATGTTATTAAAAATGCTACAAGTTGAGAATTCAAGGTCTCATGCATGGCATCTTAAACATGTCTATGGATGATTCGCACATTAAGCACACTTCTTGTATTTTTTTCATTTTTCCTTTGTAACGGCACTTGCTTTTTTAATGTGTCATCGATGTGCATTTGTGATATGCAGTAGTTACGTTTGTCTTAGAGAATCCATGTGTGTATGCGTGCGTACCTTGGCCATTTTATGTCCTGTTGATCACCCGTTGCCCTTCCCCCACCTTCTATTCCCCATCCCCAAAAATCTGTCTCCTGGTTTCTTATCAGTTCTCCTTTATCTTACTCTGGAGTTTATTTGTACTTAGAGTTTCTCATCACTTTATTATTATCTCAGGCTGGCATTTTTGTTTTCAGATTTTATTTGATAACAATTTTTATTGTATTCTTTCCTTATGAAGTTAGGACTTCATGTGTTTTTGGCTTCATTTTGTCTCTGACACTGTATTTTCTAAAGTGTGTTGCTCAGAACACTAATCTCATTTTATATTACTCAAAAATGGATGCTCTAATCACATATAGTTGGAAACTGCTACATGAAATATGCACATAAGGAGCCTGGTGTGCATTAGAATAATACAATTTGTGAAAATTTACAAAGTAAAGGAGTATAAAATTTTGCTTAATCAAGTATTTTCCAATATTTCAATTCTGGAAAATACCCCCCTCTTCCACACCTAAAATGATGTTTAAATAATTTAACAGTGGGTTCTTTGGCTCTGCAGTCAGCCTGCTGTCCAAGCTGTCCCTCTGCTCTCAGCCCGCAGTGTTAGAAAAGACTAGCTCCTACCGTTGACCATATGGGGATAGGTAGATCTGATAGCTGTGAGTTAGGAGTACAGATGAGCCTAGGGTTTATCCCAGGGTATGCAGGCACCCTGAGGCCACTGTTTAGCCTACTTGGACACAGGGTGACTTCACAGGCATTGACCACACAGTACACTCACTGGTCTTCCTGCCACAGCAAATTTTGGAGGATCGTTGCTGGGCTTGCCTTTAATCTTATGCCTGCTGGACTGTGAGGAGACCCAGTGAGGCCCCACTGGGAGGCTGCGGCAGCTGCTAGGCAGACTTGGTTCAGTAGCTGTGTGCCAACTGGTTTGTAGGAACGGAGTATTTTCATTCCAACACTGTGTCAACATATGCCAGCCAGTTTTGAGTTCTACCCACGACACCTGCCAACACTCATTCTAGTTGTGAAACACCCATGGGTGATTGCCAATCTATACCGTTTGCGTGTGATTGTCTGCACTGTATTTTCTCTTTCTATCAATTGGTTACTACAGAAGGCACAATGTTTAGGCCTGAGGCTGTGCTGGATTGGAGAATTAACATGTTGTGGTTCAGTTTCGGAGCTTTATAAAATCAAGATACAGAGTTGGTACCAAAACATAGCGGCATATACTTTGAAGGAACTGGGTCACTGGACATGTGAAGTTATAATTAGTGCCCAGGAACATAGTGAAAATTTCTGAAAACAATATTTTTTCTAATGTAAACCTGAGCCCTTCCATTATCATTTTGCTATGCTGGGAGTAGAATTACAGGCACACATACACAAATGGTGTTAATACACAAAGGCATAAACACATACACAAATGGTGCTAATTTCCTACACAATCCTTGTAGAACAATCCTCATTTGCCTTTGTATTAATGCAAAACTATCCATTGAATACCTCAGTTACCATGCTAGTTAGTGGAAATTAGAAATAACTGGTTGTTACACCCTGTGGATACTGGTTCCTACTTCTCTGGCCTCTTTCTATTATCCTGCTTGGAGAAATGGACCTTTCTCTCATCTTGAAAGAGATCTATGTTTGTCTATCACTAGGCAACATTTATTAATAGATTTTGCATCTGCGTCTTTATTCTTGAACTTGTAAATACTGTTGAGAATGCGTACAAAAAAGTTTTCAACAAAAGGAGCTAGAAGAAAGCTAGAAAATTTTGGGGACAAGCAAATTCTCAGTAGAAAGAGAGCACTGAGCCTAGAAGACTAGGGAATGAGTGGGAAAAAAATAAACAAGAGAAGACTGAGTGAGGAAATAAATTTCAAGTATTTATTAGAAGGTAGCAGAAAATTTTCTCTCATTTGCTGAGAATTTGAGGAGAAAAGGTGGACATAGGAGAACAATTTTAAGAAGTTTTGTTATGATTCATGAATGAGATTCACACAAGAGTTCTGGGATGATGTCCAAATATTTTCTGCTAACAGTGTGATTGTGCTCATGCTGAGGTGGGTCCTCAGGAGAATCTGTTCTTTATCTCCTTTTTATACAAAGTAACTTCCAATCAGTGAGGTTCACCCCACTTGAGCTGTAGGAGGTGAACTCTTACTGTAGGTCCACTTACTATCAGGTCTGAGGATATAGCAGGCTCTCAGAGGGCTAAAGTCCTACTGTCAGCTCCATGTGAGGGTCTAGGTTTCCCATTCCTTATGAAAATCTAGTACAATAGAGGGAACGTAAAAAGGATTGAGGATGTGTCATGTGCATGTACCAATTATCTACAATAAATGCAATCATAAAATTAAAAAAATAAAAATAAATGCAAATAAAGTGGACAATAAATTATTGTTCTTAAAACATCCTGACTGCCCTACCAGGGCAAAATTGTTCTCTGCAAAAGAGGTCCCTAGTACCAAAAAGGCTGGGGACTGCTGCTTTCAAACTCTAACGATATTATCTATGTGTAAATTTTAGCCTAAAATGTCTTGAATTCCTGGCCAGAATGAATCTTTAACTCCAGGAATACTTTTAATACTGCTCACTTGCTCCAGTTCCTGGCTCAGAATAGCCTCTCAGTGGAAGGAAGTGAGCTTCTTAACACAAACTTCCTTCTTGTAGACATTGAAGCCATTGCATTTGTAACTCTTCTCATATCAGATATGAAGGAAATGACTACATTTTCTCTTTAAACCAACATCATTTTCAAAATAATTAACTCATACCTCTGTCATCGCATGTAGCACGTCTTATTTGCTTATATTTTCTTTCTCCCAAACTGAGCCATTAGACACCAGCCAAAAAGACCTGTTCTTTGGGTCCAGGAGGGCATATTGGGAACTCTGCAAATGTAGAAGATTGAATGAATTTCATTGGGCATCTGTCTCCTCCATAAGAAAATGAGACAAAGAGGCAATTTTATACTACCTGCACCATCCTTTTTTCCCCTTCTTCCCCTGCTCCTCCCCCAGTGGTACATGAATTCACAAACACTTTTACTTACAAACGATGCAGTTTGCAAACAGAAGTTCTTGGCAAAACTGGTTTTTGCAAACTTTGCATCAGGTGTTAACATGACCACGACCAACTTTCCTCCGTGAACACAGAGGTAGCTGTACTTTCCAGAATCCTGGGATGAATTAAGCAACAGCCCCTGCACCGTTTTGAAAAATTTTATATTTTCAGACAGGTTCTCCAATTAGTTGACCAAGCTGTCAAAATTGTGGTCCTCATGCCTCACCCTCCAGAGTAGCTGAGTTTACAGATTTCCTCAGCTGTGCTCAGCTTTTTGCCCTTTCAGAGAGAGAGAGGGAGAGGGAGAGGGAGAAGGGAGGGGGGATTGAGATAAAAACCTAGGGCTTTGGTCCTACATAACTGTCGTACCGTATTAGCGAGTACTTCGCAATGTTCATTGCAGTCAGCTGTAACTTTCTCCTTCTGGTCTCCTGTCTGCAATGCTCTTAGTGCCTAAAAGGGGAGTGAGAGCACTGAGACATGGATTTTGTCAATGGACAAGGAAGGAGGTTAGGAGACTGCAGCTTGGAGTCTCTCTGGGTTTTCAACTATTTCTTCACAATTTGAACCCTTGATGGTTACCCCTTTTAATTTATTTGAAGTGGTATTTTTAAAATGAATATTCATCTGCCCATGCGGTCCTCCTGGATTATCTGAGTGTAGCGACTATTGGTATTGTTCATAGATAGGCAGGAAACTGGCTGGGAAGACATATGCCCTAGGGATCTGTAGTTCCTACTCATGGTGTTTGCGTGTTTGCTAAATGGTGTACATTTCTTGTTAACTATGTTATTAAAACGATTAGTACATAAAAAATAACTGTTGCAGTTTTTCTGTGGCTCATTCATCAGCTATTTTCTTTGAACTGGTCACTTAAGTTCCCTCAAGCACTTTCTTCACACAGAAGACATTCCCTCCTGTGTATGACTTCGTGATGATCCTAATGAAATTAAAGTTTGAAATACAAAGTACACCTTCATGAGGATCATGACTTAAACCTTTGTATTGAATCTAAAGTAATAAGTTACTGACCAATGGCTAAATAAAGAAGAGAATCTACAAGAAAGACAGAACCTGTGCCAGGAAGTATCACCCGCCTAACTCCGTGTTGCTTGAATCTGGAAAAGGGCATCAAGAAGGTTGTGAAATTTCACTTATTATTAAGACATTTTCTCACTCTTAAATACTGTGAGAAGATGTACTGACCTTTGAAGGAACTAACTCACCATATATCTTATGACTCATGAGTGAAAACACAATCTGTAGATAAATTAGAACCTGCTTTGCCACTGTGCTGAAGATAAAGCACAAGTTTAGAAATGTCACATCCGACTGAAACCTCTTTCATTTCTTTGGCCAATTCAAGGGGCATCTTCATCTGTTAATCTTTTCTAATTAATCACAGGCATTATGCAAAGTGCTTGCGTTAAGGAGAAGTAAAGAGATGGAGTTTTAATTTTTATCAGTTCGATTTAAATGCAAATGGTAACCACTCACTCACACGATGTTACTGTGTACATAATTAAGCATCATTATATACTACATGAATCATTTAGAAACCTCCCGAGAGCCATTCTGCTATGTAAAACATGCATTATACTGACACGCAGCCAAATGACGTATACTTCTGCCCTCATTAAAGCTTCTTTTGAATTACAGGTCCACTGACTACGGGACAACTTATGAGAAGCTGAATGATAAAGTGGGTTTAAAGACAATTTTGAGCTATCTCTACGTGTGTCCTACCAACAAGCGGAAGGTAAGAAATGTGTGCTCAGCACGCTCCCGATTCAGGAGGTGCCTTCCATCTTGGTTGACTCAGCTCTCTGGCTACCTAAAAATCCATTACTCCTAAACTGGGATTAGAGCTGTAACGATGAACTGATGGATGCTCAGGTGGCGAAATGCCTGACAGGGTGTAATTTTAAGATCAGCTGGGAGTGCAGGAGGGCCAGGGTTAGGTGCATCATTACCGTTTCAGAAAGGCAGTGACAGGAAATGAGTTCTCCTGCGTGGATGCTGCTGACTGTCTTGTAAAGGCTCTAACCAGTCATTCAGGAGGATTAGAGTAGCCCCTGACCTGACAGCGGGAGGACAGGCTGTCATCCGATGCCCCTGCTTTTCCTTGACTGGAAGTAAATAAACAAACTACAACTTAGTGAATACATTGGCAGTGTTTTATTTGTAAGTGTTTTATTTTCTAAGGTCTGTTCAGGCCACACAGACTGTCAGGATGGCAGCTGTGTTTGCCTGCAGAGTGGTGAGACACACCTGTTCACCAGCCCGGTCCAGCCCTCTTGCTCTGGATTAGGGTTTGATAACTGTACCTTGAGAAAATTCCCTCCAGTTTGCTGGCATGAATCTAGGATTCAGAACCATCAGTGTAAAAGTTCAATGTCGCACCCCTGAAATGAACACATTTCAGGTTCTTCCAGGGACACAGCCTAACTTAACTGAGTAACTTAATTTTAATTTGCTTTTTTTTTTGGTTTTTGAGACAGGGTCTCACTATTCAGTTGACACTGACGTGGAACTGACTGTGTAGCCCAGGCTGGTCTCAAACTCATAGTGATCCTCCTGCCTCAGCCTCCTGAGTGCTGGGATTACAGGTGTGCGCCACCATGCCCGGCTTGATTTACTTTTAATTAACTTAGCCATATATGGATAATTCCAACAGTATCAAACAGCACGGCTCAGTAGGGTCAACCTTTCCTTTTTGGCTACACCCCAAACATTCCTGTCTTCCCCTTATATATATATATAATCTCAGGTTAAGGAACTGAACTCTGTCATTCATGTTTATCAACAGATTTAGTTCTTTGTTGCCTTTAAATTTATTTTTGTAATTTCTATAGACTCTTTCCCATAGTTCACATTTTTGGTAAATTCAACTTAATCATCGAACTGTGCTAGACAGTGTGCTTTGCGCCAAGGAATAAAAAGAGCAATAAGCCAGAAATATAATCTCAGGTTAAGGAACTGAACTCTGTCATTCATGTTTATCAACAGATTTAGTTCTTTGTTGCCTTTAAATTTATTTTTGTAATTTCTATAGACTCTTTCCCATAGTTCACATTTTTGGTAAATTCAACTTAATCATCGAACTGTGCTAGACAGTGTGCTTTGCGCCAAGGAATAAAAAGAGCAATAAGCCAGAATCTCACCCTCCAAAATCCTATGTCTTACAAGTAAATTCAGTGTGACTTTTTGTCATGCAAAGATCACTAAACTAAGATTCAGAAATCTACTGCCCTGCCTTGAATTGTTTTCCACTTTGGGTGAGTCATTTATATTTGTCAAGAGCTAAGGGCACAACGAAGGTGTTTACAGCCCTAGGAGTCCTAGTTCTAACCTAGAGGTAGTCTCTGTTTTATGGATGTCATTTGGGAATAACATGATTTTAACCAAAGATAAGGTGTCCAGTATTGCATATAATTACTAGATTTTCTGTAGCTGCAGAATATGTGCTCTTGATCCCAGACTGGGTGAGTGCGTAAGAGCAGAGAAAGAATTCGCATCCAGATGAGCTCCTGAGGCCGAAGTAGATCCTGGGAGGGAGTAGAGCAGAGAGCCCCAGGTGGAATCTCGCATTTCAATGCATCCACACTCTTCAGTGCGTGGGCAGCCTGTCACTGTCCAGGATGTGCATAGGGGCGTTGGGCCACAACATTCAGCAAATCTCAGTTAAGAGTGTAGCTGACCCTAGTTCCGGAAAAGGAGAAGTCATTTTCCTTAACACTGAGAACAGCCTTCTCTGGGCCTGTTACCTGTGGAGCTGTTTAAATCAGTGTTTATGAGGGAACCTAAACCCAGGGAACGTTCCCTCTACAGATAAATGACACCATCAGGGTCACTTTCTGAGATGCGATAGATTTAAAATATATTGGAGGATGGTGAAGGCCTTCACAGTGGTGGGTGCAGAAGTCAATGAAGTTGGCAAAGCAGTGTATTTGTGCACAGTTTTTTCTTGTTACCATCTGAATGCGTCACTATGAAATATTCACCTCTCCCCATGGAACATATTGGAACCAAGAGATAGCACCTGCATGATATTTTAAACTGTGAATACGTTTTCCTCAATCAATAACAGTTTATGCAAGATAAAAAGAAGAGAGAAGTATCAGGGTGTATTCTTGGGGCCGGATAAGGGCACTGGAGTTCAGTTTCCCTATGACTTCTGCTCCCCTCCAGGGAAGAGAGTGGCTCCTTCCAAGGACCATATTAATTCGTTCAGAGATGCACAGTGCTATCTAGAAGTTAGCATCTTTTGTCCCTGGCATTTCCCTTCCTTATTGTATCAGTAGAACCACCTGGAACAAAGCCCACAATGCACTGTCTGAGCATCCTACTCATTGTAGTTAGCTGGCCGTGAGGACAAGAGCTGTTCTTTAGCACTGTGTCTTGACACAGCGGGCATTATGCCCTGACTGCAGGCAGCTTATTAAGTTCATTTCTTACTCCAAGTCCAGAATGAAGCAGACCCTTCTTTACAGCTCAGTGGGCATCCGATAGCCATTTCTGTGTACATATGTGGAAATTACAGCAGCTTTCCTTGGCTAGGTTTGTTGGTATCAACTGTCATTGTCTCTTTGGTCCCTTCGGGAATTCTTGACTAAGTAACCTGGAAAGCCAGCCTGCTCATAGGTGTTATCCTGGCTCCTTCATACTTTCTCACAGAAGAGTCTGTCCTCCTGGCTTCAGATATGAGAAGGAGGCCTCAGAAACACAAGGCTGAGTGGGGCCATCTGTCACAGTCTCCCCGCCTGTGGTTAAGGCTTGTTTATGTTGGCAGAGGTTTGGGAGCCACGTACAAACGGCCTTCTGTACAGGAGGATGGTGCAACCCGTACCTGAAGGGAAGACCTAGGAGGCAGGGTTGATGGGGCAACTAATATAAATGTTGCCAAGAAAAAAATCGGTGTGGAAACCTGAGTCCCACTGTTACATTCTCTCTGAGTTTATCTGTATTCTGCCCCAAAAGAAAATGTCTTTTGACTCTGCATGACTATCAGCATTACCTTCCTCAGCACTTTCAGCCAGCCTTGGCTGCCTTCTCTTCACACAAGGTGTGTAACTTCTTCAAGGAGTGAAGCATACAAAACCCATGTGGAATTCATTGGTGGGAGAAGGAAACTAGTGTGTGTGTGTGTGTGTGTGTGTGTGTGTGTGTGTGTGTGTGTGTGTGTTTCTTAAACTCAGAACAGCCAATTCGTGCAGTTGTTACATCCTTGTTGTCTCTGCATTCTGTGTTCCCAGGAAACAGAAAAACACAAACAGTCTTTTTTCTTTGTGTTTCTGTGCCCCTTTCCATCCTGTTCCCTCTCATTTCTGTGTCATCACTTCTTAATTAACATCGCTCCTGTGAGAGTCTTTGAAGCTTTCTGTCCTATAAATAGGACCCTGGTTCTACAGAACACATTGATCATTCTCGCTGGTCCCCAGGTACCTGTCAGCATTAAACACTGTTTGCATTTTCTCCAGATGTTTAGGTTTTAATTACCATACTGCATGCGACACTTTCTAAATCAGTGTTTGGTTACTGATGCCCTGTCTGTTTTTTACCTGGGCATGGTTAATTTTTCTTGTCATTTGTCTGGGTGTTCTGTATACCATCTATGTGACATTGGGGCTGGGAAAGAGGTGTGTTTGATAGGGTCTGCCAACTTCTCTTAAAACAATCACAGAAGTGTTACATTGTGCCATGGAAGAAGTTAGGGGTTTTCAGGTTCTACTCACTTATTTATCGTATATGAAAACAGAGTCCCTGGGAGCTAAGGGGCTTGTCTGATTACATACAGCTGATGAATGAAAAGCCAAGCTCACAGGCCTTGTCAGCCAGCCTGTAATGACACCTGTCCTGTTGGATGCTGATGTCGTTGTTTTCAGTCGTATCTGATCCCCCCTGTAGAGTGCGAGACCCTAAATGAGAGAAGGAGCTGTGACCCGCTGCGTTGTCTTCTCCGCACTGAGCATGGTGTCCCACAGTGCGGCATTGTCCAGCATGTGGCTGAATGTCTGACCTGACCTTGGGCTGTGTTTGGGCTTGGTGGTCGGAATTTGGAAAGGAGGCTGCCTTGTCAACCCAGCTTGACTCGTTCATTTTTTCTAACTATAAATGAGTTCTTTGAAATGAATAAACAGGAACAGTTAAGAAGCCTCCTAGGTTTTATTCACTTCCAGGCCATGACGTATAATTTTATCTTTTCCAACTAAGGAGAAAGGATGAATATTGAAGGTGCCAGGAACTGCGCTTGACATTGCCTGGCAAGGCCGAGGGGAGCTGGGTGTTGTACGGTGCATCACAGGGGATCACATCCCATTTCCCAAGACAGGCACGTGACACTTACCTGCTCGTGCTCTCCAGCTCTTTCATGGGCCCTTTTGTACACGAGGTCACCCGTTCACCTCTAAACCTTTAAGAAGAAACTATGTTGCATTCATAAAGAAGTGTCATGCAAGAGCTCAGAGACATAGGGGAAGTGGCATTTCCCAAACTTTAATAAGTGTTTTTTTTTTCTTTCAGTTTTTTCCTGAATAAATGCTCACTACCTTACACTTAACAGTTAAAGGGGGAAAAAAACCACATTTTTTATCTTTTTTGGGGTACAACTGAGTGTCCTGTTTGTACTGCTCAGACACATAGAGCGCTGCTCTGTTCTCTTCCTGAGCATGAAAAATATTTCTGTTTGTTCCTTCACGTGGCTTTCCAAGTGACACAAGCCTCTGGTTTCACACAAGTTCTAACAGAATCAAGACAGAG